CTATTAGATATACTCGTAGCATAGCATGGTGGGTGATATCTTACGTATTCATGTAGTGACGAGTGCGGAGGAACAGGAAGTTTCTCCATACTTTCCTTGGGATTGTGATGGCATGGTGGAGATTCATGGACATTCGTTAGGTACTTTGAGCGTNAGACTTTTGCGTTGCACCGTGACTTTGTGATGAACTTGCAGTGAAGGAAGTGTTTTGGGGTCGATTCGTATTCTGTAGTAGAGAGAGAAAGAGAAAGACGAGATTGGACAAGAAAAAGAGAGAGTCCGATGAAGATCGTAGGAGTTTTGGTTGTGTTGGGATTTTTCTTGATTATTTTGGAGTAGTATTGGTTGTGTTGGAATTTTTNTCACAATACGTTTTACAACACGTTTTCCTTCACGTCCCTACCCTACCACGGCCCGTCATGGCCCAGCTGCTCTACACTCCCAACACAAAGAACTGAGCCACCGAATTATCGATCATCCCCCCCCTTCTTTTTCTGCTTCGTCCCTCGCCTGTTCTGCTCGTCGAGCCTCGCGCCCTCCCGCTTGGCGGCCGCCCGGCGCTCGGCACCGCCTGTACAGCCATCGCCCTCTCCGGTCCCGTCGTCTTCTCGCTGAGCGTGCTCCGGGAGGGGATTGTTGCACACTTGGTCAAGCTCGGGGTATTTCTCGATTGCGCAACCGAGAATGTACGTGTCCATGTACCCTGTACAAAAATAACAAAGCGGAAAGCGCGGGTGGGGAGTGGTCTGTTTGTAGCAATTGGTAAGGTGTTTGGTCTTGCTTCACAATACACGATAAAATTTCATGGTGCAGACAATCCTTTTCAATCAGGCCTCAATGTGGACGTCATCCCGGGAGTACGTTTTACAACACTGTCTACAACTCCAAGTGCAATATCAAACCTCCGACCGTAGTAGCACTTGCACGCTGAATCAGGATCGGCACATTTGACGCCACAGCCACAAAATCGCCCAAGGTTCCTGAGAAAACAGACGCTGTTTTATACCCAGCCCTACGTCACCCATCTCTTACCTTGGCAAAATGAAAGCCATGGCTGGTTGTTGCCGGCTTCACTCTTCCAGTTGGCATTAGGCGTGTTCCATTTCTCCTTTGCTGCAGACCACATCTTGGTAATCTTTTCCGCCGAGATGTTAGGTTGCTGCATGATGTTCGGGTTGACGTGACAAACGTGTTCGTCGTTCACGATTTTTCTCACCTAAAAAACGTCCACAGCACCCATAGGTCAGGCATACAGCGAGGGAGCGAGAGAAGGGGCAACGCAGATCATACGCGTGTTCTTTACACCTACCTACAAAGATGACGCCCCCCGAACGTGCGAGGAATTTGACTCGATTTCGATACGAAAAAAGAAAGAACGGGGGGAATGCACCTCTCTTGCGGGAAGGGTCAATGTCGGTCTGTTCCCGGCCTGTTATTTGTCAGAGATATTTCGCTGTGCACTAGCAGCAGTGCGATGCTGCAGATGCCAGGAGGCTGTGTAGCCTACCTCAGAGGTTCACACTCTGTGCGTCTCCAACCGCGAGAGACTTGGAATGGAAATATGAAGATGCTTTTATTAGTTGCGGACTCCCGAGTCAGATGTTGCTGGTACTGAAGAGGAGTGAGAGGAGTGGGCGAGCTGCACCACTCTTCTCAAATACCGGACAAATAAGCCAATCACACGAAAGATCCAGAATGCTTCCAGAATGATTTCTTGAAGCCATCCTACGTTCGAGAAGAGTATCAACTACAACCTGGATCTAGAACGCTTCCAGAAGCTTCCAGAAGGAACCAGAAGTTTCCACAAAGGCTTTCAGAAGCTCCAGAAGGAACCAGAAGTTTCCAGAAGGCTTCCAGAAGCTACACACGTTCGACGTAGATGTCCCGGTCAACCTTGACCTAGCATGCTTCCGGAATATTTCTAGAACAAGAGAATACATGCCAAGGAGAGATGGGTTATTTTCTACTGCTACGCAGACAAGTTGCTGCAATCGTATCCAAAGGTCAAACTGTGTCCAATAACTGGTGGTCTCGACGCACGATTTTCCTGACATCATTTTCTTCTGGAATATTGTCTGGCTATCTGTGCATTCTTTTGAAAAATTTCAGCGCGGTTTCAATGTCTTTCACTATAATAGGCAACGAAGCAACTACAGCAGTATCTACAGCAGTATGGTCGTCGGCGTCGTCAGCAACAACTACATATGTTACCGGTAGACGTCAACAGCAGGCTGACCCGCTCGTGGGGTTGGATACCTAATGGCACTTTACCTAAAATGGTGGCGCGATCGTCCGTGGACGTTATGAGGTGTTGAGTACCTTGCCTGACAATAACTATCAATAAACGGCATGTGTCAGCATACACTTCGACTGCTGTTTTTGTACAACGTTTTCGTCCGATCCGTGTCAGGAAAAATTTTGCGTCGAGACCACCAGTAGTCGGACAAGGTTTGACCTTTGAATACGATTGCAGCAACTAGTCTGCGTAGCAGTAGAAAAG